GAAAACCAGACACCCCAGCAGAAAGCTCCCAGGGCTCCAAGCCTGCAGAACCTATTTAATCCTCTGAAACTTCTATTTACACTTCTTCTGCCCTTCACCCATCCCCTCTGCAACTGAAGGAGATGTAAGGGCTGCGTGTTAGGAGTTAGATGTGTTTTCAGCCATTTCTGGACCTCTGCAAAGATAATGATTGCATCCATAGAGCATAATTTGCTCTAATGGTAGTTAATGGATGAGGCTTGGGCCATTTCTATAGCTAGCCTTGGGTTTAATCCTTGTTCAGTCTCTGAGTCTGGTCTGAGACTTCAAGTTCTTTCTGACTTTCCCCATTGCCTGCTCAACAGAGAACAGCATCATCTAGGATGATGGGACAGTGTTGGTTAAATTCCCCAGTCTTGATGCGGAATATGTTATCAATAGGAGGAGGGAAAAGAAACCACTGTGCTGTCTGGACCAAAGAGCCTGTCTGTTGTTTAAACATGGAGCTTGGAAAGGCTCCGTTTTGACTCAGAACCTCCAATGCAAATAAATGGCAGCTTATTTCTGGCGAGCTTCAAGTTCCTGCATTCCCAAGCAGAGCATCCTCTTCTCCGTCCCGAAATGCTTCACTGCAGGTTTGAATTCAATATACAAAGAATTCCATCTTGGCCACATCAAAAGGGCTATGAGCTCCCCTTTCCATTGCAGACAGAGGAATTGTTGGGCCAAAGTTTTAGGGATACAAGGAGTTACCTGAATTCTGCCAAGCTTCTTTTGTATTACTGGATACAGGGTAAGAAAATGGGTGTCCATTTTAATGACTCCACAGGCCCCAGTGTATTAAAGAGTAGGATGAGTGCAGTGGAGCACCAGGCATGTGCCTTCCAAAGCAGGTCAGCCAGTTCTGGGTCATTTTAACCTACATCCTTTGTTAATTGTCTGTTGCTTTCCGTTTGCCTGTTTCTGTGTGGGTTGTGAGAATGGCTGGCATCTCCAGCCCATTTCAGTCCCTGCCGCTCTCTAGCCAACAATCCAGCTGGTTTTTACCATAAGCATTTTATAAAAGCCTAAAGCAAATACACACGTGGCCCTACCCCTTCACCTCTCTTAGGATTCACTACTCCCAGGGTGTTACTGGTGCTAATGCACGTTTTCCTCTCTCAAACAGCAGCCTCAGTGAACGGCAAACTCACCCAGATGCCACTGCAGGCTTGCACATACCAGTGCTTGAGGATCAGGGGTGTAACACAGCCTCTCTCTCCCACTGGGACCCTGCCCCAGTGTGTGTCTCACAGCTGATGTAAGGGGCCAGTGTGTCAGCATGGAAACGGCTGTGCCGGAGCCCTCGGCCAGGCTGGATGTGCAGCACATCCAGTAAACAATCCTCTCCCTCCCCTGCATCCCCTTCCCACCAGCGCTTCCAGACGGGATGATTTGTAGCTGCATCAGTGGAACTTTAAGCCAATCATTTCCCTGGCAGAACCCTTTGAAATACCAAGTGGTTTTATAATGGGAAGAATTAACCAAGAGCTCTTCCATGGCTGTTGTTGTTTATAATCAGGGCCGACAGAAACGTCATCTTGTAATACTTCGCCCACTTATCTTGCCGCACGCTTATTCGTACCAGAAGTGGGGATGGGAGGAAAAGAGGCTTCTGTGATTGTTGTTTTCTGACCTCTTTCTATTTTTAAAAGGAATAGCATCCGCAAAGCGAGCGGGATGGGTTTCACTCAGCCCAACGTCACCTCGTTCCCTCTGTTAGCTCTCCCAGGTTTTGTGTCTACAGTTAAAATAGCCTTGGAGCTGGGATCCTAGGGACTAATGGTGCAGAGCTTGGCCAGGCTTGCAGCATTGTGCTGCCCTCTCCGGCCAGACTGTGCTGGGAAGGGACTGGGCTGCTCTCCATCTTTTTCCCAGTGGGGAATTGCTTTGTACCAGCTCAGCCTAAAGCTCCCGGTCTGATCCTAGATCATCCCAAGCCTGATGGGTTCAGTTATAGGGGCAAGGCTAGGAAATGCGAAGAGTCCTTTTCTATGATGGGTTAGAGAGTAACAGAAATGAAGGAGGAGATGAAGGCAACTCTTGTAGTCATGAGTGCAGCCATGTGAGCAGAGTTATCTGCTCCTACAAAGAAGAAGGGGAATGATTTGCTGTCGTGGCCTAACAGCCCACCCCAGGGGTGACCTTTAGGCTTGGAAACTTAGAACCTGATTCCTCCATACATTGCTCTGATGCAGCCCAAATTCCCATCTCGTTTTCCAAGGAATCCTGCACCAACCGGTCACTTGAGGGCTGTGGAACCCTGTTTCTGAGCTGCACAAGATGGTAGACAGAGAGGCAAGACTCCTGACACCACAAACATGGGCTATGCTAATGGTGAATCAAGTCCTCATGCTTCATCTATTTTGCTCTGGGTCTCATCTACAACAACCAACCAGGGTCCTCATTAGTGCCAATGGAAAGAAAGCTTCAGTGCCCACTGAAGCACAGGAATAGGTTGAGCTTTCCCAAAGAAATGCAAGGGAAGCCAGGGAGTATAAATCAGTTGTTGGAACGTTTAGCCAAGTGCAGTGGGAGCTGCTTTGAAGTCAGGCTGTACAAACAAACATATATACATCATTATTTACCACCTCCGGAATGGCGATGGAAGGGAACACCAAGCTATTCAAAACACATTTCTTCCACTTTATTCTTGTTTATAAATACCTCCTCGAGTTCCCAGGCAAGCGAAAAGCCCAGCCCAGCAGGGATCATGGAACTACATAGAGGGGGTACTCTGCTTCAGGAGATAGGTATAACATGGGAGAGGAGAGAGTATGAAACCAAGTCACACACTTAATCAGCTGCAGACTCATTAACGCAGCTCATTCCCATTAGTGTCTTGCCATTGAGAAATTCTTCTTGTGGCTGCATTTACAGGCACGGGCAGCCTTCAAGCTTCGGCCTCTTGGCTTCCATCACTTAGTAAAGGCGATGGTTTTGCTGAGCCAGCGGTCCTCGAGAGGTCAAGGAGAAGAATTAGGCTGTGTGCTTTGATATCTCCCCTTGAGGGACAGGGGTGGGACTGTTCCCAGAACTTTGAGGGGGGTTGCATTGCCTCTGAACACTGAATAACCTCGGGTTTACTGTGCTGTGAGGGTCATTTCAATGGGGCCGACTGCTTTATGCATCCCGGCTTACGCCTCTGCGCCTCTTGCGAGCAGACGGTCCCCACACGAGTTCCTCATCAGTGGTTCTTGCTCCAGGCAACTCCGTGGCTCTGCAGTCCTTATACACCTGGTAATTCTCAACAGCAGCATCCGGCTATCTGCAGTGGGGTTTAATGTCTCGTGTATAAATGCAGTCTTAAATTACACCAACCATCCGCCCTCCAATGAGAAACAAGACCAGTGCGTTATCTGTGTCCTGTGCAAAGGATGGAGTGTAATGTCTGCAGTGATACAGAACAGCCATGGTTCTGTCGTGCTGCTGCACCAGACAGATGGGATTGGGGCATCATTACTGGACAAGCAAGAAGGCAGAAAAAGGTAATTAAGGGAATCTGGAATGAATTCTCCCCATAGGACTGATGATGTGATGGTGACTTAGGCCAGCAGAAAAGCTCAGCTAAGATTTGGGGGTTATTAAGTTAAAATCTATTAAAGGTGTATTTTCACCTCCAGCTGATAAGGAGATGGCTGCTCCGACTATAATTGTCCTGACTGAAGCGCTTGTTTGGAATAAATAGATGAGCTTTCATGAATCTGGAGTTACATGTGATAGGACCGACACCGGGGCACTTGGAACATTGTGTTTGGGGCATTTTAAAGTATCTTGCTTTGATTTTAAAGGAAATGTTGTAGTGAAAATTAACATTTCTTCAGTACTTCAGTTCTGGGGGGGAGAAAAAGGGAAATTTATGTTCAGTTTGGAAAACTGAAAAGAGAAAATTCAGAAATTGCGTTTTTTTTCAGACAAAGAATTAAAATTCAGATTTGAAACCAGAAATGTATTGAAAATGTTCTCCATTAGGTTTGCATATGTGCTGAAAGCCAAACTGCCTAAGTTTTAAACCTGAAGGGGACTTGGTGAACGCAGACTGTCCCAGGCAGGCTGTTATATGAATCTGTAATTATCAAATGGAAATCCACAGTAGCCTGGATTCTGCGAAAGGAAAGGATGCTGCCTCGCAAGCAGGGCATGGTTGTCCATTGGAGAGAAGCAGATAACTGAAAGACCTCCAGCAAAAGACAAAAGACACTTATTAGGATTTTACACATAATAGGAACCATTGCACGTTTTTTAACAGGTTGTGGCTTAATGAGAAAGACCTTTGGGTTTGTGAGGAGGCACATTTAAGTGAGACATGGAGAGAGGATTCCTCCAATCTTATGGACATTGTGACCTGCGGAGTCAACGCCAAGCTCCTCTTGGAGGTGTGCTGCTCCCTTCCTGTTTTCCAGTTAACCTGCATCTGATAAATAATAGAATCTGGAATGGGTTGGGATGAAGGGAGCTTAAAGCTCCTCCAGCTCCAACCCCAACACCTTCCACTGGAGCAGCTTGCTCCAAGCCCCTGTGTCCAACCTGGCCTTGAACACTGCCAGGGATGGGGCAGCCACAGCTTCTCTGGGCCCCCTGTGCCAGTGTTATCTGAGCCCCAGGTAACTGTGAATAAGTTGCCACATGTGTTTATTGCTGCTCCCAAACACCTCCACCCTTGTAATTCTAAGTAATAACTAAAACTGTGGCTTCCACCAATGCTCTAGATGCTGGTGTCAGAACCAGCGCTCTGTAGACCTCTTCAGGCTTGTATTGCGTTTACTGAAGCTCCTGTGTTTTTCCAGCAGTGGAGATGGACTTGGCTTTTCAACTGTTCAGCTTTTAACAGTAGCACCAACGCTTTTCGTCCAGGGCAAGACCCTGGTGTTCCCATTCAATGGTGCTATGTGTAAATAGACAGTTTTGCCTTGGTTTGCATTGTGGAGTTAAACAGCCTCACCAGACAAACTGGAACTGTTTCTCATTTTCATTTCTGCCAGGAATCACAACCATCTCTCTGAACGTTCAGCCTGAAGGAAGCTGGAGGGATCCCACATTGTGAACTAAACCACCAGGACGATATCCATCATGCATGCTCTGAAAGGTAATGTGAAGATGCAGCTTAAAGCACTGTCAGCAAATGGCTTTTGCAATGTACAGCTTTCATCAGGTCTACAAAACATGGGGTTTGATGCTTCTATCACTCTAAGCTAGACAATAGCAAGTTAAGTGCTGTAAAACTGCAGTGCTCTGCTTTTACTCCTTCTCTTTCAACTTTCCTCTGTGTTGTCACCACCCAGGGGAAAGAAACACCTAAATTTAACTTGTCATCTCCTAAAGTGATTGCCAAGACTGGAAAAGGGGACTGCAATAACTACCACCAGAATAACCTTTTCAGGACAAGAAATGCTCTAGCCTTCTTTCCAAGGGTTTCCAAGTGATACCCAACTGGTGCCTTGCTTGGGAGGGACGTCGGGTTCATTGGTTCTCTCTTTCCTTTGTGTTCTTCATGCTGAAGGTAGATCTGATGCCTGAGTGAGCAACTGCTCATGGAACTTCTTCAGTTCAGAAGGATGAGTTAATTGTTTCTTCCCAGTGCTACTTCATGCATCATATGACAAGGCACATCTGTTCAGTGACTAATAGAAAGAGAATATCCCATGCGTGTAAGCGGCACAAGGCTGCCTCACACTCAACCCTTCTGAGCCTTTTTCGAGGGCTGGTTATGCAATAAATAAAAGGGGACAAATTCATCCCAGGGAAGAACTCTTTTAGTTCAGCTTTGAAAGCAGTAATTTGCCTTGGAAAAATAGCCAACATCAAAATAATAATGAGTGCATGTTACTGCTGACAGTCCTGGAGACAAGAATTCTCCATGCATCCAGAGCCAGCTTCTCAAGTCTTCGTATCTTAGCTCTTACACATGGAAAGCCCTCAGCAGAGGAGGTGGAGAAGGGGAGTGGGAAGGCTTTGTAGCACTAAATGCCTCAAGAGCTGGCTTTCAGTGAACAGGCATGCCAAGCCTTGATAACCAGCAATGAGGACATTGATGGCACCCTTTGCTGTGTGCTCCAGTGCTGAGCCCAAGGGATCCCATATGGAAAGATCAGGGCAGGGAAGAGGGGCCATCAACATCTTCATGCTGGCTCGGGTGCCAACAGAACACCAGTCATTTGCCTTTTGCAATCCATATGCAGGCTGTATAGGACCTCCCTGTAGGGGGTGAGGTGAATGGCATTTGGTCTGTGCCGTCTGGGGTTGTCAGTTTAATGATGTAGGACTCAGGGAACAGTTTAATACAGAAATCTAGCCGGTAGCCTCATTAGTCCTTGGAGCTTTGCAGTGCTTTGCAACCGGTGTGCAATAAAGGGGAAAATAAGAACATATTGTAAAGGAGTATTTCATCAGCTGGAGGCTGGGGAATAAATCAGAGAGAAGCATGCATTGAAAGTAATGTATCTGCAGGATCTGGCTGGACTTTGGGATTTGTTTTCCGTCTTTTTTCTAGTCACAAATTGTTCACTGGGAAATTGCAGCTTCAGATGGGGTAGAGCTACATCGTGCTGTTAGTTTATGAACCAGTGTCACCAGTGGAGCTCGGTTACTTCCACCAGCTGAAGTGTTGGCCTTCTCTATGTTTTTATGACCTTTCTCATTGTTCTTGATTGCTTGATGAAGACAATATATTCCTTCCTTTGTGTAAGTGACCTGTGATGTCTTTTGTTCTCCTTTTTAACAAGTTAAAATCCAGAACAGAAGTCATCACTGGCATAGCAGCTCTCTTGGGATAAGGGAGGGGAGTACTCCAGGGAGAGAGAACAGTTATGGAATCACAGAGTCACAGGGTTGTTTCGGTTAGAAAACACCTTTAAGGTCATTGAGTCCAACCATTAACCCAGCACTGCCAACCTCACCTCTAAACCCTGTCCCTAAGCAGCACAGACAGGCTCAGAGCTCATCACTGGATGTTCTGCACATGAATCCCCATGCACTGCCTGAGGAACTGGATCTATGGAGTCCATCTCCACCATCTCACCCTCTGTACCACTGGGAACTCAGTGGGCATCTGGGCAGCAATGGCAAAAGCAGAAGAGAGTATTTCCTAACACTCTGCAGTCAGCTCTAATGATTATCAGCCACAAGCTTTAGCTTAAGCAACTGCCATTCTTGTCTTAGCCTTAAACTGAAGCTGTAGCTCAGTATTTGCTGATCAACGCTATGGAGTTATCCTGCCTGGACACTCCTTTGAAGCACGCAGGCAGCTTCACGGCGTCAGTGGAAAGATGAGGGTAATATTGTGAATGGCGAGCTTCCAGTTCTTCATAACTGCAGCCGTGGGATGATTGCCTTTTGTTTAAATGTCAGAGGATCAGGGATGTCAGAGACGAGGAACGGCCTTTTAGATCATCAAATCTGCATCATGGCATGGAAGTCATGGGGCCAGAGTAGCATTGTGTGAGCATCAGCATTATCCCATCGGAGTTACGGTGCGTTAGCACTTCTGACTGACATCCCAACCGAACCCAAGTGATGGAGGGGCACATGGCATGAGGTATTCACTGAAGAATTTGACTGCAAAACACATATGGCCATACTTTGTATTTCACGGTTAAAGTAAGATGAAATATGTTAGGAATGATCATGAAGGAGCTTTGGAGGCCAAGCTAATCACAATTATTTCAAGTATAGGCAATGAACCGGAACCTGGATATAAAATATTTCCCAATAGCTATTGTAGTACAACCAGCTGTACTCTGATTCACTTACACTAGTTAGTTCCTGCGCTGAAAATAGCTTTAAGATCGATGCTACTGCTCAGGAAGGAAAGGACTGTGTTAGGTACTAACCAGCACAGCTCTGTTGGCAGCCATACAACATCCATTTCTACCAGCTGAGAATGCAATCAGTGTTTCTTTAATACTGATACCTAACCCAGAATAACTGTTACTCCTCTTTCCTTGCTTTTACAAACCAAGAATACATCTATATCTTTATCTTCCTGAGCGTCGATCAAGTACAACCTAGACTGTGAAACTCAAGTAGCTTCAAGCAGATCAAGACCTAAAGCAGCCCTATGTGGCTGCGAAGGTCTCGTGCCCCTGTTGCAGAGATGCTAAGGAGGAAGCCCTGGAGAGCTGAATTGACTCAGTTTGTGAATTCTCGGGCAGAGCAGGAAAGAAGCCGTATTCTTCCTGACACCTTAGCTCACCACCAGAGGAGCCTCCCCTGTTGCTCGACACTTGTGTGGGTTCTCCTCATTTTTCCCTGTTTTTTTTTTTTTTCCATGGGTTAAATCTCTTTGATTTTTTCTCCTTTTCATTTTGTGTTTTTTCAGACTGTGCCTTGGCAGGAGCAGTGATTTTCTGGTTAGTAATCCACTTATTTTGTGGTCGAGAAAATAGCTCAGCTAACAGCTTGGACACGTTGTTCACTGGCATTGTTGGCCACTCATGTGGCGTGAGGAACATGCAAGGAAACATGTCCTTTTGTGTTTAACCCCCCCTTCCCAAACGGAAGAGTGACCCGCTTCCTACCGTGTGCATACCTTAAGGCTTGGAAGGAGGCTGCACATTTCATATAAGGATACCTACAGGTATGTAGGCTTGACAGATACAACCACATGCGTATGATTGTCTCTCTGAGTTGCTATAGATGTAGGTGTAGATCTGTGTCACAATCAGACATCAAAACCTTTTACCTGAAGGTGTATTTATTCCTGTAGGTAGATTTGCTTGTAGACTGCATTTTCATCCACTGGAGCTGCCACACAGCTCAGGTATTGGTTAGGTAAAAGCTCCCTTTTTCTTCTCTCGCAGCTTGTGAACTGGTGGGAGCATTCTTTTCATAAGCCATAGATAGAGTCAATATGCCTTTTCCTCAAGGATGAGGAAAAGAAGCTGAACAAATAGCAGCTGTCTGTCAGTGCAGCGCACATGATGGCTGTAGGATGTTTGAGGATGTCAGATTCCATTGGAAAGAACAAGTTTATTTGTGTACGTTGCTTTGTGCTTGTGGCTACCAGAATAAAACTTGTGCTGAAGATGAAGGCTTAAAGAGCAGATGTACCATAGAGTTGGAGTAAGCTTGTTGTATAGACTTGTGGTACGTTCTATAGGTCCTAGATCTTGGCTCCCTCACGTTAGGCACTGCATAAACCATTTGCAGGAGCCTGACTCTTCTCCAAGGAGCCTAAATAGACCAGAGAAGAGGTTTGACAGAGGCAGAGTTATTAGTTCCTTTCCCCAAATAGAAAACCAGGCAGAGGATGAGGAAGTGGCTTGCCAAAAATCATGTGTAGCCAGGGTGACACTGCAGATCCGCCGAGTCTCAACCCAGTGCTTCAGAACAGATCAGGGGGAATGGGTGCATATACCTCTATAAAGTACAAGTTTGGAGTTATGGGCCTGGAGAGCAGTGGAATTTGAGTGAGAACAGAATGTGAGGGCTGTAGAAGCAGTCAGGTTTTATCGGCCTGTTGGATAAAAGATAACCAGGTGTTATTAATGGCAGCATCGTTGTTGAGTGTTGCCTGACTAAAGACCGCAGGACTCTAAACCCACCGTCTCCACAGGCCATTGCAAAGTGGTCCATGGAAGCCACGCTGCCGCCCGGCATTCGACCTGCTTCCCTGCCTCAATCTGTCCTTCCCGTCAAAGCTATCGTTCATGTTAACACATAACAGGGGAACCTCGGCCTTGAATTCATTAGGAAGCCCTTGGAATCCAACCAGCCTGGACAACCAACCTTCTGTTTAGCTGCTTCAATGTACATTTTTATTAGGGAGCCAATATGGACTTCCTACAGAGTGATTCATAGGTCATCCCCCCTGAGCTGCTGGGGTGAGCCCGATGGTTTCTGGCTTTTCAACCGCATTCACTTACGGACTGTCAGTCAGAGACTAATAAATCTGGCTCCAGTCACCAGACTCTGTGGTATATCCAAGGCGACTGGGGAGTCTAAATTGTTCAACCACTGTCTTGTTTAGAGGCTGGTTTGAATGATGCTTTTCCATTATTGCAGGCTTTACTAATTAGTTTTATTGCAGCGATGCCAGCAAGGGCTGATACTGCAGCGGGACAGCACTAGGCAAACAGAGTCAGAGGTCTCTGCCTGAATCCTAACCCTATTAAGACAGTTAAATAACTCTCACGAAGAAATAGAGGGGTGCAATGCTTATAGCACGGTTTAGGTTGGGTTGGACCTCAGTGCGGGTCCTCTTGCAGATCCTCAGCAGGAGTGGCAAACTCCACTTTAACAGAGTGAAATTCCGTAGATTCAGGCAGAAAACTTTGATGTGGTCTTCAAGCAAATCCTCACACTTGTTTCTTTCAAGGCTTCTCTATAGAGGAGCTCATTTTGATACCACCTTCTTGGAGACACAGTAAGCTTTCAGACACACTCAGGCCGTGTTAAGTTGTTAAATATTGGAAGTTCTCAGTATTAGTCCTTCTACCAGTAGCTGTTATCTTCAGGAAGGTAATGAGAGGGCAATAGGCACTGCCTTGGCTTGAAAGCCAGCTCTTGTTCCTTCCAATGGAAAGGAGGCTCAGAAGGTCAGCAAAGCAACAGGGAAGAAGTGTCTCTGATCTAAAGCTTCCTGTGGCTCCCAGAAACGAAGAGCTCCCTGGTGCAGCTCCGAGCAGTCCGTCTGCCAGCAAGGTGAAACAGAACACTGGAAGGGGCACAAAGATGTTCATTAAATACTCTACAAATATAAAGGAAAAACCATAAAAAGGAAAAACGCCCCAAGGGCGCTATCAGGAGAGAGAAGCAGGATCCCAGCTCCTCGTGGTGCTAGGTATGGGTGCAGTTCCTTGGTCACTCAACATTTCTCTCCTTATGCTTTTGATGAGCCCAGTTGGGCATCTCAGAAGCTGTATTAAATTCAGCCTGGAGAGAGCCTGAGCACAGCACCGGGAGGGCGAGCTGGGTGAAGTCAGGTTGGCCATTGCTCTGCACGGAGGCATTTCAGGTTCCATCCGGAAGTTCAAGCGAACACTGCAATAGACGCAGTTTATTGTAGAGGGATGTTGGGGAACAGGGGGGAGAAATAACTGGAAGTGACTCGAGAGGCAGAGCCCAGAACTCCTGACATGGACCTGGCCGACCAACCCACCATCATATCCCTTTTTTCCATGTAAATAACATCTGATGATGAAGACAGTGGAATTTTACAGTGGTTCACAAGCAAACTCGATTTTCAGGTTCAGTAACATTGCCGATCAGTAGTTGCTGTTTTCAGTTCCCAGGTTAATTTTATGGAATATTCTGCCTTGTGCCAGACTCTAATGAATTCCAAATGATTCCTGCTTTCCTTTCTTTTCCCCCCCTTTGCATGTTACTGTCTTACAAAGGAACTAAACTCCCAATTTGCTCTAAGGCCGGTAATTATATGCATAAGTGATGAGAAATCTCAAGCATTTTTCTGCAAACCAATTACAGACCTTTCGGAGCAGGGTAATGCACTTCCTGAAGAAATACATTAAAAGCTCATTTAAACAGAAGTAAACTAAATAACATCGCTGAGCTACACAAGGGGAAATTCAAGGTACAGGTTTAGAGGAGAAAAAAACCCTTCTGGTTTCTTTGCACGGTACTTTCAGACTCCGGTTTCTAATGGATCTCAAGGACTTGTTTTCAAAGCAAACTCTGATACACCAACTTGTTGAACTGACTGTTGGTCTGTACACAAGCTGCCTTGGGTGAAGCACTTTGTAGTTTTAGGGTATGATCTTTGCATTCGCTTTTGCTAAGAATACTTGGGGTGAAAGTCAACCTGATAGGAGGCTCTTTCTACAATGCAGTGTTGAGTTTCCAACAGCC